AGACATAAGGGTCTTGAACATCTAGATCTAGCTCTCACTGGCAAAATTGAAGGCAAGCGAGGCAGGGGTAGGCCCAGAACAACATACTTAGGGAAACTAAACAAATGGGTAACAGGGAAAAATCAGGGAAACGTAGCTTTTCTGAGAGCATCCGAGCAAAGGAATGAATGGAAAATCATGATCGCCGATGTCTGTCGCAGATCTGGCACTGGATGATGATGATGAAAATTAATTAATAGAATCTGAAGGAAATTAAAAGAGCCAATGGTGAAAGAGGCCATACTAGTAATACAAACTTATTAGGAAGAGACAAAATGTAGTTTCCACTACAGTTGAATCAATATAAACGCCTTGAGCATTGCTCTCATTGAAAAAATAGAAATCAAAAGAGGCAGGCGTAGATGCTTAGTAGACCAAGAACAACTAAGAGAACCTGATCTGTAGGTGACGGGGAAAGCATAATATGTAGGCCTAGTATGTTATTTTAAGAGCACCCACATAGAAAAATGAATGGTGAACCATGATCGACGATCTCTGTTCCAGGTCTAATTCATCGTGAAGATGATCTATGGTACCGTGTGCTTTCCCATACATATTGTGTGTGTATATATATATATAGTCGAACCTGTGTAAGACGGCCACCCATTGTCAAGGAGAAAAGTGGCCGTATAAGACAGGTGGCCGTCTTAGACAGGACTGATTGAGATGAAGAAAACAAACCATTCCTTTCTGAGAAAACAAACCCTTCCTTTCTGAGGTCCCAACCGAAGGTAGTTGCATTGTTGTTGTTGTTTTCGCTGGGTTTTCTTTTCTTTTGTTGCTGCTTTTGTGCACGGGTGACAATAAAACGAAATGTGTCAGACTAGGAGGATCAAGTGCTATGGTAAAACAAACACACGTACTAACACTCGGAGAACAAGCGACGCTTCTGTCACAAGTTCATGTTGACGTCCATTGTTACTTTGTTACAGACTGGGTAAACAGTGACCACTCATCTCACTTGTGATTTGTGTATAAGTTCTGGGCGGGGCTTATGGGTTATGAGGGATCACACGCTTACATCACCAGCAGCTGAAAATTAATTTTGTTACCTATTGGTCAACAGTGGGAGGGGCCTACGCAACATGATCAGTTGGAGGGACTACCTAACAACGACATGTTTTTAGATTATGGGGGGCCCCCCCCCCCCCCCAGGGGGGGAATGCCCAATTTTTCCCACACCCTCATGGGGGTCCTAAGGGGCCCCTTTAAAAAAAGGGGTTTTTTTTTTTTTTTTATAAGGGGGTTGTGTGTTGAAATATGGTGGCCGCGGCCGCGTTGGACAGGTGCCCGTTTTACACAGTTAAATTATATAGAAAAATCGCAAGGGAAGAAATGCCAAGTGTCCGTTTAAGACAGGTGGCCGTCTTATAGAGGTGGCCGTCAGGGCAGGTTCGACTGTATATATATATATATATATATATATATATATATATATATATATATATATATATATATATATATATATATATATATATATATACAGTGTAACTCAGATTTAACGAGCTCGGATTCAACGAGAACTCGGATTCAACGAGATGAGATAGATTCACCGTTTTTTTTTTCTTCTTTAAAATCAATAAAAATAACCCGGATTCAACGAGCACTTAAATCAGCGAGCTCGTATTTAACGAGGTCGCTTCAGGGTGAACAGCCCCCGCAGACATGGCTTCGCTCATTTTTCTCCCAGAACGAACTTTATCTATTCCCGGAAACCATCACTTGCACCTGCATCGTGAACCATTATTCATTCACTTAACCGATTGCATGCGACCAATCAGCGGCCTTTTTTCATACCCACACATGCGTTGTTGGCACGCACATGTGTCTACACTGGCGTATGTTGGGGGTCGGAGAGGCGGCCTGCAAACGTGTGACTGTGTGTGTATGTCGGGGAAAGGGGTGGGCACTAGCGGTTCGGGCGTTGAACGTCGCAGATACAAACGCGACACAGTCTCCACTGTATATATATATATATATATATATATATATATATATATATATATATATATATATATATATATATGAGAGGCGGCCTGCAAACGTGTGACTGTGTGTGCATGTCGGGGAAAGGGGTGGGCACTATATATACATAGTGTGTGTGTGTGTGTGTGTGTGTGTGTGTGTGTGTGTGTGTGTGTGTGTGTGTGTGTGTGTGTGTGTGTGTGTGTGTGTGTGTGTGTGTGCGTGCGTGCGTGTTTGTGGCTTACAGACTGTTCTATTTGGCAAGTGCAAACGGAGGGCAATAAATTAAATATATTCGATTGTTAAAACAAAATATTATGGTAAAGAGTGATCAAGCAATGATGAAAGTAAACTTTCATGATACAGTGAGAGAAACCAAAGAGCAGGTGCAGGCCTGTATCATGGAGGTTTTAATAAATCAGGTCCTTAATGTACACGTATTGGACACCACGACGCAATAACCACGTAAGTCTGATGCGGCTCCTCCTAGACTCGAGTCCAAATGGTTATGGTACATCGCGAGACAATGAATACCCAGTAAAAAAAAACCCACAGCATAACATACTCGGCTGAACGTATTCTCGACTGTAATTGAATAATAAGTGTAATATTTTTACTTTCAATCAATAGCCAGGAGTCCCTTGTAAAATTGTTACCATCTAAAAGTTACTTATAAATCTGAAACGTACTTGTGTAAAACCTTCTTTTCGCTAATATAGCGGTCACTTTTCAAGAGGTTTTAGTAGTGATCTACAGTTCGTATATAACGGACATTGTACATTGTGAAAATAAAGAACATGGCA